ACCCGGGGCAAGCCCGGCGCCGCGAGTGTGTCAGAGCCGGGGAGAGCCCCGCGGGTGCCGTGCTGTAGGTGAGACCGGTTCCCGGTGCGTGTTCACACGGGTCCGGGTACCTGCGCAGGGCTCGTACTGCCTCGGTGATTCCATCCCTGCATGAGTTGCTGCAGCCTATGTCCATGCATGTAGCCTGACCTAAAAAGCCTTCGTATACATGTCTTGTCTATGTACACACAGTCTACTCTTGCAGCCTCTGCTAAATCTTCTGTGTGGCTATACAATCACCTCTGTACACGCTTATGCATTCCGTGCTTAAAACATCGACTGCCGTACGCACACCCTGCCTGCTGGCTCCTGCCATGCCTTCCCAGGTACGTCTCATGTTTTCTATATGTAACCAACTCAGACACAGAGAAACATTGTTCCACTCGAGCACATCCACTCAGCTTCCCCGTGCTCAGCTTGGAGAAAAATTTATTACATTTATTGCTTGTAAAGAGCTTGAGGGATGTGAGCCAGACGTGCAGAATCACCGAGGGGCAATGGATAAGCCTCCTGCCTGCAGTGGGTCTGCCAGCAAACATTAATCTTTGTCAGTGATTTACTTTTTAAACAAATCTGTTTTAAAAGGCTATAGAAAGACATCAAAATAAAACCAAGCTAAAAGAACATTCATTAAATATTCTGTTCATGAAATATACAGCACCATGATCTAAGGCACTGAAATACACAAACCTTCTGGTTAGGTTCAACTTATTTTTGGAGAAAAGAAGCTTCCAATGATAAATTAATCATCATTGAAATAAGTCCGCTGTCCATTTCATCAACCCTTACCACCTTGATTTTCATTTCATGCAATATTGGGTTTCAATATAGTGTCAGGGAAGTTCAGCTTTAGATGTAGTGGCTGGGCTGCAGGTTTGTCAGCTGAATTAGCTGTGCTTCTTTGTGGCATTCCAGTTTCAGTAACTGTTTTTCCCTGATGAGTCCATGAGTGGTATTGATTTCCAATAACAAGCAGCTATATGGTGTGCCTAGTAAAAGACGCCTAGCTAACTTTGGGCTCCCTTTCAATAATCCTCTGACATTCGTGTGACTTTAGAGACCAACAGCAGTGCCCATGAACTTGAGTAATCCTCCAATTTCCATCAAATTCTCTGCTTAAAAATAAAGACAAAGAGCTGTCCTAAGTTACACAGTCGTATTTAGCTTTTAGTAGCTTTCTGCACCAGCATAAGGCCATGAACTCCGTCCTATCCATGAATGAAGTCATTAGCAATATTCTAATATTTCTTCCACCCATTCCTCCCCTAGAGTACTTTGCATCTTGCAACCATCTTTGGAAAGAATACACAGCGTTGCTTCATCCCACACAGACGAAATACATTCTCTGCTCTGGGAAGGAAACAGGCAACCGTGTAACATTGTGAAGCATCATGTCATAACAGTTGAAGGCAGGAAGTACAAAACTACCAGCAACCCCTCTGCATTCCACTGAAACAGTGCACAAGGGGTTTGGTAGTTTGGGACCAGCTGTGTTGAAATATAGCCACAGACCTCATCCTAGGATACTCCACAAGCAGTTTGGTCTGTCAAAAGCTGCTGTCAGATCCTTACACAAAATAGAAGTGAGGCAGGTCTCTGTTTTAGGGTCGTGTAATGCTGCAGGGCTGGTTTGGAGTATTTGGCTGGTATTGGTTCCCATGCTTTCCGTAGCACCTCAGTGTGCTTGCCAAACACTGACCCCCTGTCCTTACTTTGAAAGAGATGAGGGAGTCAGACAGAATTAGCTGCTTTTGCAGCAGTCTCAGATGGACAGAGAGTGACACACAACTCTCATATTCCTGAGCAAAGAGAAGGGACCACACAAGGTTTGTTTTAAATAACCTCTGTACTGTATATACATGACAAATTCTCACACCAGCTTCTGAGCTGCCTAGCTTGTACTTGCCTTTTGGTAGCCCACTGATGATCTTCAGGATCACCAGCAGAAAATATCCACAGCACGTTGCAGGGACTTGGAAGTTGGGCTAATGCAAACTACGTGGACCAGATCTGCATGGAAGGTGTCAGGAGATGGCACATTCCCATGTCTTTTCATCTAATGCAGGATGAAACCAGCTATTTCCAGACAGAGCTATTCTAAACAGAAGTTGACAGACAGTCCAGGCTTTGTTACCTTGAGAGGAATGGAAAATATCCTTGGTCTTTTTAATAACCTTTGTGTTGTTTGTGATTGAATATGATCCAATTGCTCTAATGGAGGAGAATATTATGCACAGCATGAGTCAGCAACACTTTTTTCTTGGAACAGCTGACAGCAAAGAAAGTTCCCAAACTCTCTGCAGAAATATTCCTCCCCCTAGATGAGAATCTGGACTGCATCCACCAATACCTGCTGGTGCCTCCCCTTGAGATGGACCTGTCTGACTGGAATATGGAACCATCCAAGGTTCATTCGAGGTTAGAAGACACAACTTGGTGTGCAGCAAAAGCACTTGGGAGCTGATGCAGAAGAAGAAAGGGAAGTCAGTCTCAGGAGTTTGGAATGCCAGTGCATGTTCCAGTGGTTGGGAACTTCAAAATTAGGTCCTCGACAGCACTGGCAATGAGAGGATGTTTTCTATTCCAAATGCTTAGTCTCATCTGAGGTCATCCAGTAAACATGACTGGGTTGTTTCTTGTAAAATACAGATCTACAGCCACCAGCCAAAGGGTGATTGGGGGCAGATTTGAAAGCTACTAATCAATATATGCACTCTTCACTCTGGGATTGGAGAAAATAGAGCAAAAATTCCTGCCCTGTTTGGATAAATTAAATAAGGTGGTGTATTTTAAAATACTAGAAGTTTGAAGCATGCAGTGGGCTCTTAGTAGAACTATGGACTTCAGTGGAAAGATGCTAGGAATGAGTTTTCCCTACTTTGCTGTACACTCCTCACTAGCTACTGACATCGCTCTGTTGCAGTGTTTGTGTTGTGCTGAGAACAACCATCTGATGTAATGCTACAGCAAGTGAAGGGTTGTCCATTGAAACAGGCCTGGCATCTGGACAGTCTCCCTATGCAAATCCATGCTTCCACTGGAAGCTTTTGCCAAGCAAAGCTACAGTTTGATAAGCAATCCCAAGTTTTGGATTGATTTTTGTTCTTTCTGTTGTGTCTATTGGATATTTGCTGCCACTGGATAAAGTTTCCAGCAGCTGTCCAGTGATTAGCTAAGATGGCATCCAAAATTTTCGTATGAAATGAGCATTTCTGCCAAAGGTGCCAGCCCAAAGCACAGCACTGCTGCTTTTTAAAGAATCCAGACATATTAAACCACCTAAATCATTCCTTGTTCAGCGCCAAGTCACCCAGCCTTCTCCCTTCTCTGTGCTCAGGTCAGTCAGTGTGCCAAATGCTTCTTTCCCGTGAGCTGAGAACTTGCTCTGTGCCAAGCCACATCCCCTGAGGTCTCTGCTCTCCACCTTGGACCTCAGGGAAGAGGAAGAGATGCACAAACAGCAGCAAGACTTGCATTTCATTAAGTTCCTACCAATTTTTAGAAAGTTTACGACAGAGCCCCAGACCTTAAAAGAACAGTGTGATTGCCACAAAGAACAGTGTGGGAAAACCAGTATACATGCATGTGCAGCCCTCCCACACGCATACTGACTACCCCAGATATAGGCATACCCACAGATCAGCACCTACACACAAATGTTTTTGACACACTTATTCTCAGCATCCTGTTCTCTTACAGCAGTGGCAGTTGGAGGAAGGGAGAAAATATGTTCCTTCTAACCTAATCTTCTAATGACCTTTCTGCCAACTCCACTTTCCTGCCTATCTCTAAGCTGCCCATGGTGGTGATGGGAACAAGATCCCACCGTAGAGAGTGGTTTTCCTCCTCAGAGCTCTGCAGCGTCTGTCTGCTGGATTGTGGTGTCTGGCCCAATTGCTCTTAAGGGATTCAGGGTAAATAAGGAGATAAGAAAACTGTTTATGATCCTACTCTTGGGCCCCTTGCAGCTCCACTAGAGTTCTTGCAGAGTCGAAGGACTGTGACTGTGCTGCAAACCTGGTGCAAGTGGGCTTCTGTTCCTGGATTGTGAACTCCCTGCCAAGCCTAGCAGCAGGTCTCAGCTGTCTCACTCTGCCCTGCATGTTTCTACAGCTTCCTGTAGCTGCAGGGAAGAAAAGCTGGAGAGCAGGCAAACCCAGTGGCGTGCCATGGTGGCTGGCTCTGAATACTCTGGTACAAACTATTTAGAGTGACCATCTCAACTTTTGTTGAGAGACTTTTAGAACTCTCTAAGACACTCAACAGCTGTCTCCCAAAGCTGTCCCGTGGCAGTCTCGGGACTCTGATGGATTCTTCTGACAGGAGGTGTCTGACTCGCTTGCCCTGCTCCCTCTCTCTGGGAGAACATGGGAGATGGGCACCGCTCAATTGCAGGGTGTTCCTGGCCTCCATGCTGCCTGTCAGGGGGAGATTCATTAGCAGCAGGGAGGCAATTCTCTCTCCTCTCTGCTCTGGAATTGAAGTCATTTGTCTCAGGACCCAGGCACCTCACTCGCTGTGTGGCAGCTTCTGCTCAAGGGAGACAAGCACTTCGTCAATAAACAAGGAGCCTGGGGAATGGCTCCGGCTGACAGAGGACATTATTAATGACTGGCGCTTTGTTGGAGGGCAGATCAGCCTCCTGTTAGTTGCTTTAAGAGTGGAAAGAGGAATAGAGCTAAAGATGGCAACTTTAGAGAAGCTGGGAGTTTCAGCATCCTCCTGCAAAGTCTCCTGCTGCGAGGCCCAGGGCTGGCACAGCCCCCAAGGAGCAACTGTCTATTTCCCCAGTGTCTCCCATGACAGCAGGAGACAGACCCAGCTCAGAAACAGTGTCGCTTCCCAGACCACTGTGGGTGGGCTCTCCTATGGAGGTCTTCCAGATCAGAGTTTCTCTGTCCCCTCTGTCCTTCTCTCAGTTTGCCTTGTACCCCTGGGTACAAGGGGTGACTTCCAGCATCTGCTATTGCAGGTTCTTGTTTCAGAGAGCCTGTGGACCTTTGTGCAGCTCTTTCCCAGGCTGTGCAGTGAAGAAGGCATTGAGGGGATCTGAGAGGAGGCTGTTCCACTGCCTTCCCTCTTGAGAAGTGGTTAGCACAAGGAAGAGCAAGAAACACCATCCCCTATGGCCATGCAGTATTGTCTGTGACTGAAACTGGAGAAGCTGTTTCTTTTGTCATAGCTGGACTCCTAAATACATCTCCTCAGGTGGAAGAAGCCTCTAAGCTCTAAAGCAACTGTTGATTCACCTTATCATATTTAATTTGCCACAGCACTGCTTTGCTGTGACATTGACAGTTCATCCTTCTCTGTCCTACAGTCCTAGAACTGCCAGAAGTCCTTGTCTCCTGCATGGAAAGCATGTGGTGCCCATGGCTTAGGTCTTTGTAGAAGCTTTTGTTTGGAACCACACTTGCAAAGAAAGTCATGAAATCTTTCAGCTGAACACCTGAGTGTCCAACCAGCCTGCTGCATAACAGTGTGAGACCAGTGTCATCTTGGTCTTCACAGTTCTCGAAGGAGGTAGCTCTTCGTTCCATGGCTTCTTATCACTGTGGAGCTGTAGCTGTGGCGGTTTCATAGCTAAGGGTGCATTCACTATCCTATTCAGATCTTTTTGCCTGAGTGCCAACAGTTCTTATTGCAATTTTCATACAATTTAAATCTCTTTTCAGGCTGAATGCTCTTATGCTCAGCCTGAGATCAGAGGAAAATATATTGGGGACTCATCCCTTTTCTTTCAGAGATTATTCTATTACCCTAAGAGGCCTAAAGTCCAGAGCTTAGAGCTGGTTCTAGGTTCAGGGACCTCTTACTAACTCCAGGACTTGCGTGCTTTGAAATGAAATGGATGGATCTGACGTCCAGATTCTTTGCTTCACATTATCTATCCTGGGGCTGTTCAAATTTAGGATTCAGGTGCCAGCCCATCTTTGGCAGACTTGTGCAGGTAAACTGCCAATCGATTTTTACTTGCAGAAAGCTGGAAAAACTTTACCACGAGACTGGCTCAAGGTCTCTCCCTTGTGGTTAAAAATTACTATCCTGGGGCTGAGAGTATTGTAGGGTCCCTGGACTGCTGTCTCCAGGCTTGTTTCCACAGCAGCAGGAAAAAAATCAGGCACTTCTAGGTCTGCTGGCATTTATAAGCTGAAACAGGTCCCATCCAGATAATGGTCCATTTCTGCTCCAAAACAAGCTCTGGACTCTGCTCCAAGCCCCTAAGTGGATTGCCTTCTGGCCAGCCTAGTGCTCTGCTGATTGAAAAGCTGAGAGGAGTTAGAAGGGGGGTGGGTAGGGATGCAATGTTCAGAGGCTGTGTGGACCCAAACTAGCTGGATTCAATGAACTCATCACTGAAATCACTTCTTGCAGTGCCTCTCTGTTTTAATTCTCCCTGAAACAGCTCTCTCCTATGAGTGAAACAATCTTGCCTGTAGATTGAGGGGGGTGGGAGGGATTTGAACATTAATCTGATGTAGATTATACATCCGCCTCCCTCTCTCTCCCCTTCTCACTCACTCTCTCTCTCTCCCTCTCCCTCTCTTTCTGTCTGTTTCTCTCCCCTCCCTCTCCTTCCTGCTTCATCTCTTCAAGAAAGTGAACATAAAGTAAAATACGGAGAGAGAGAGGCAGAGAGAGAAAAAGCTCCCTGAAGAGGGAAAGCCCCAGCAGCCAGTAGCTGTTTGGATTTGCCTGGTACTGCCTTTCTTGCTTTGCTCCCAAGGAATACCTTTAATGGGATCAATTGCTTCAGTTCCTTTATAACCAAGTCCACCGGAAAGGCAGACTCAACATATTATGGGCAACTGTGTGAAGTCTCCACTGAGAAACCTCTCTAAAAAGGTATGTTCCCTGAATCAAAGCGCACTGTGCATTTCCAGCCCTGTTTCTTGGGATGGGTGACGTCGTGGGCAGATGGGAATGGGAGGTGGGAGAAACACAGAGATGTGTACAAAGGGTTCAGCTTTCCTCACCAGACTTTCTGTAAGAGCTGCTCATTCAGGTGCAGCCGTTAGAGCCCAGGATGCTGAGAGCCACAGTAAATAAATGTGTGTGTAGGCTTGTGTCCTGCTGGGTGTGTGTGTATAGCTGTCCTCTGGGTATGTGCAAGCATGTGCTTGTCAATGCACAGTGTGCTGGCACACTTCTGTATGGGCTTCCAAATGTCTATGTGTATGTGTGAGTTTGTGTGTGTGCATGTGCTTCAGCTGAGAGGTACCTGCATGAGTCCGATCACGTGTCATGGATGTAGGGACATTTATCCATGTATGTGTGAAGGGGCATGTGTCTGTATGTGTTCTTCTTGGTGTGTAAGAGTCTACACACCTACAAGCTCATCTGAAGTACATGTGTGTCCTTAGCAATTTGTGTCTCTACATACACATCTGAGGTGCATGAGGAGGTGTGCAGTGTTTGTTGTGAGTGCATGAGGGGGGAATCTGTGTGTATCCCACACACACACTCCTGCTTGTATGGTGCTGTGTGTGTTTGTTCACCTGCTAGTGGATGTCCTCACAGAAGTCTCTGTGGAGTCATGTGTGTGTTTTTATGTCTGTCCATCCTTGTGCATGCACACACCCAGTTTAGTTGGTATGTGTTTGGGTACAGCAGCATGGTTTGCTCTGTGCTCTGTTTGTCCATGCATCTTGTTGTGAGTGGATACACTGGGCCCTGGCTAAGTGACCGTGCATCATGTTGCACATCAGCATTGCCCATGTGTCTACATGCTTGGACCCAGCTGGACTTCATCTGCGAGTGCCACATGTATCTATTAGGCTTCAACCCACAGTCTGCTCTGTGCTGAGGTTTTGCAGTGATCCCAGGATGAATTAGATTCAGGAATGATTCTGCTGTTAGGGACTGGATTGAAACGGGAATGACGTGCCCCAGAAACATTTCTTGTTTGACTGAGGAAGATCTTACAGCACTGTGTACCTGTCAGCCACAGGGTTCTCACTTGACATTGCTGCAAATCTAACAGCTCAGCAAAAATCTGTGCAGTTCACTCCTTGTCAACGGAAAAGTTATGCTGTGCATCCAAAGTATTGGAATGAGGAGCTGCCTCTGTGGAGACCTTGAAGACAGTGAAATGCCACTGCCATCAAGATGGTCCACCCAGGAGACCTTGCCACCTGGGAAAGCTCCTCTGGGAGGGAGCTGTTGGGGAGAGGACCTCCCTGGTAGGGAGTTTCTTCTGGCTGGACATTTGCCTCTTCTGTGTAGAAACAATTTGCTTGTTATCTCAGCTCCTGTAAACACAGCCAGTAGTGGCACAGTGCTGCTGTGGGGGAGCTGGGATACATGAGGAGGGAATTCGTCACCAAGAAGTTAGGCAGTGCTGAGTCCTTAGGTCAGGGTGACCTTCAGGAAGAGGCAGAAATAGTTGAGGTTCACCCAAATGTTGCACACATGACAAACCAACTTGGTTGCTTGTAGGTTGCCTCCAACTTGGAATAAAAGGAGTTGGCTGCAGCTGTGCACAACATGATCAAGGCGATTGCAATTAAAGTCTGATGTATGGCCAGGCTGCTTGAATCAAAATGGATTCAAGAACTTATAATCTCTGTGTCATCAGTCTTTTAGGTAATTTATGCTTTCTTTCCTAAAAGCTTGATCGAATAATGCACTTTGTGCCTAGTTGCAAGACCTGGGATGTCAGGACTGAAGAGAGAAAGTTGAAAAGCTGAATTAGAGAATTTCTCAGACATCACTCCAGTGAGCCATGAATTAAGGCCTCGGGCACTCATTCTGACAGGTCCTGGGGCTCTGCCATTCTTTTGATCATGACATACATTATTATAGTGGAGACTTTGCAGATCAGTCTTAACATTGCACAACTTCACTTGGCTGTTTTATGATCCTGGTCTTTTTGTTCAGATTTTACCTTGGGCAAACTAATTTTGCTGAAATGTTGAAGAGGAGGGACTGTAGACATCGTATGTGAAAGCTGCTCTTAGGTGACAGACTGAACTCTTGAATACATGATTTCAACCCAAAATTTGGGATTCTCTCCCAGGCACCAGCTGGCTTGGTCTGGGGCTGGCTGACACCAGGGAACCTTGCTTGTTCAGGTGGCAATGATCATGACTCCATGTCTGTTGTTGGCAGCCTCAGTTTCCCACTGTCCCCACAGTGATGCCAGCAGCCATCCTGGCTGCTTTAACCTCAGAGAGACTCTGCTGTGGGGATGGAGGCCCCTCTTCTCTTGCTGCTTTGTGAAGTCCCTCTGACACACAGACAGGAAAATGAAGTGAATCCTGTTGTGCTTCTGCTGTGCAGGAATCAAAGGCTTTGGTATCCAGGTCCCTTGCTTTGCCACCCTTCAATTTGGTCATCTCTAAATCAGCCTGGTCTCTTTCCCGCTCCACAGTCTGATGGTCTGTCACAGCCAAGGGCTGGATTTGGCCAGGAAGGGTGGTGGTCCTTCACTTGGGGAAGGGACAGGGAGAGCCTGATCTCCCCAGTCTTATCCTTGCATTTTCCTTGTTGTGCACACTGTTGTTTCCCCTGTAATGGGTGGCTGACGTTGCTTTGCTCCATACCCATATCACAGCCCCCTTCCCCACTCTGCTGCGATATGGGAGGAATATGGTGGGGGGAACTTGTGGAGATACTTGCAGGAGAACTTGTGAGACTGCTGGAAGAGGGAACATTGAAATCCTGCAAGCAGTGGCAGAGCAGGGCAGGGAGCTCCTGTTGGGGTCTTGCTGAGCCATGTACCTCGGTGTCCTGGCACTGCAGCAGGTTGTCTAATCATGATTGTCAGTGGCTCTTGGCAACTGTTTTGTCAAACTGACAATCTCTATCGAGACAGAAAAATAATGGGATGACTATTATGAGGTGCTGCTCTGTGGCTTGGTAATAAACTATTGACTACAACGGTCAGCAAACAAGGATTTGGGGCTGTGGGGCTTTCCATCTCTGCGTGGCTTCACTGGAATTAAACACAGAATCAATGTGGACTATATAAGTGATTTGTATTATTTGGTGTATTAAACTGAAAAACATGCCAGGAAATAAAGCCAATAATTTTGAAAATACATTACACTGATACCACAAAGCTGTGCAGCTCAACACAGATGTCTTGACATTTAGCTGAGCTAGTAACATGCCATTTGTGGATGGATGCTCATCTTTCAGTTTTTTAAGGACAAGTGTCCTGTGTGTCAGATTTAATCAGAGACAGATTCCTTCCTCATCCATGACTGCAATGAAAACGCTTTTCTGCTTCATCATTTTCTTTCTCCATGGCTTGCTTTTTGAATTGTTTCTGTTTTGGTGCTTGGTATTCACATGGCATTATACATGAGCAGATTGGTATAAGACTGTGAACGAAAAGGCGAACTACAAACCATGCGTGCAGTGTAATAGCACATGGCAGACACAGCAAGCAGATACAATAGTCTCAGGCAAGTGTGAATGGTGTGTGTGTGTGTGTGTATCTGGTCTTTTAGCCTGAAAAAACACCTCAGGCTTTAAAGAAAGGGTTAATAGAGACAATGACAATTGACAGAGCTTCTTTGATCACCCCTGGGAACACTGGCTGTAAAAGTAGAATCATTCCTGAAGAGGAATCTGATGTATGATTAATGTTTATTCTATAAAACCAAGGGTCCTGTGGGTTGTGTTGGCTTTTTATAGCTGCATGGGAATATCAGGATAAGAGTTTTTTTGCAGAGCCAGGGAAATGCATTTCTATAAAAGGAAAGCAGTGCCTCCTTATAAAATCCAGTGCTGGATTCTGTTCTGGAGCCTCAGCTTAGCAGGACGTGTGCACTTAGAAAAACGTGCAAATGCAAACAGACAAAAATGTTGTACCCGTGCCTGATCTCCACTTTGGGACTGTCAGTGATCAGAAGAGGCCAGGGCAGTAACTGCCTGAGCCCCTGAGGATGTAACTCATTAGCAGCAGCACATGGAGTGTGAGCCTGCAGTTGGCAGAGCCACCTGATGCTGTAAATGGACTAATAATATGATGTGTGTGATGCTGTGTTGCTGAAATGTAACATGGAGCCTTGCACAGTGGCTCTGTGCAGGCTCTGCCTGGTCTCCTGGGGCTGCCCTGGCCAACAGGCTCTGCCAGCAGCTTTGCCCTGGGCACGGGGTGGCACACGCACTGTTAGGTTGGGGCGCGCTCGTCCTCTGCAGCCCGTTCAAGGGACTGTTAACTCGGGCTGATTGTGGGAGCGTGGTGCTTTGGGCTGTGTTTGGCTAGATGTGAGCAGTGCTGAGAGTTTGATGTCATTTCAAAGCGAAATTCTCCTGGTTGGCTGTACTTCTGTCAGCTTTTGAAAGTGAACTCCTGGACTTACTGCTTCTGTACAAATCCTAATAGGCCAGTGGGGGGGACCCAGTGTGGACCAGATGAAGGAATTTAGCAATAATGTCTCTGCGAGGCGGTTCAGTAAAACTTCAGAGGAACGAGATGGGGAGGTAACATCCTCTGTTGTGTTGTTTGCTTGCTGCTGGTTGGCTGGGAAGATCCGCCATGACGAGAAGACGAGCTATAAGGCTGTCCAGACGAGCGAAGAGGGGTCGTCGGCGTGCGAGTACCAGGGTCCGCTCATGGTGCTGGCCCAGAACTGCGCCGTCATGCACAACCTGCTGGGGCCAGCATGCATCTTCCTGAGGAAGGGCTTCGCAGAAAACAGGCAGCCTGTACGTAAGTTACACCCAGCTGGGTGAGACATGCACAAAGCCATGTGGACGCGAGTCGGGGATGTGGAGCTGCCCTCGTGCTCCGTCCCCGTGGAGCTCTGTAACCCCCAGCCCTGGGTCTCGAGCACCCCGGCTCCAGCTCCAAGTGCAAATACAATCACAGGCAAATGTCTAACCTGAAGGATGTGCAGATCCCCCCCGTGCCTAAACACCAAGAAAGGAGGATTCTAAACATGCAGCTGTGGAAGATAGATCCAAGCCTACACTCGAGTAGCCATAATCATATGAATTCAGGAGAAGGACTTAGGACTTCAGGACTTACATAACCATATGGACTCAGGCAGAGTCCAGTGCTCAGAGCTTTTGTTCCAGCAAGACATCCACCTCTCATTCCCAGAGGCTCAGATTAGCATTTAAGGCCTAAATAGCCACTTAAATGCAAATCAGGACATCCGTATTGGGAACAAGCTGTCCATACTTGATACTGTTCCTATCGGTTCACAGCAAGCACACCAGTACCAGCAGAAATAAGCAGCATCTGCCTCCTCACAGACACCCAAATGCAATCTCTTGTACACTGCCATACCCAGCCTGACACTGCAGCAATCCCAGCCAATTAAACTGAGGAACATCAGGCTGTCCTCATATTTGCAAATAGTGCCAGGCTACCAAATGCTATTACCCTCCCACACACAGAGATAAATAGCAAAACCACATCTATCCATTCAGTCACACCTATAGTAACTGTGTGTTCATATGCATCTAATGTGTGCATTTATCTACAGACAATGAAAGTATGTGCTTGCATGTAAATTCAAATGTATACACCTGGACATGTTAAAGGTACATAAATATGAGCCCCAGTATTGTGTCTTTACAAGAACTAAAACATATTTTTGCACCCCAATGTTTTACTCCTACAGTAAGATGAATTTAAAGACATACAGAAACATATGATTAACACACCCTTTATGGATATGTATGGGGGAATATGTGCATTGTCAGATATTCACCCAGTACCTTTCATGTTCTTGTGGTGAAACAAAGCTCACCCCAGTTACCTGAGAACCAGAGCTTTCTTGCCTCTGTAAGAAACCTCAGTGTTTCTTGTGTGTTGATATGGTCATCTACAGCTGTAGGAGACACTTAGATCTTTATTTCTGAAACCTCTTCTTCAACTGACAACCCAAAAAAGAGTCATCATGTGTTGTTATTGATCAAAGCGCTTTTGATCTTCCTAACCTTCAGTGATCACATAGTCCCTGTGCCAGTTCACTAAAACATGAAGCATATTCTCATACAAGCACACTTGCTAGTCTGTACAGAGCTGCCTGTCACAGGAGATAGGTCCAGCTCCTTAGTGGAAGGCTCACAGCTGAACAGGTGTCCATCCTGCTTAGGCCATGGAAACTCACTGTACCCTAAGAAGTCTCCAAAATTGGATTAGTGATGTCTCTAACTACCCTGATGTAGAATAATGGCATCTGATAAACAGCTTTACTTTTATTGACTCTCTAGATGAACAGGATTTATTGTGCATAGAAGGGAAATAAATGAGGGTAAGACCTTTATGTATAATGGACTCTCTGGGGGTCACCTCTGCTCATATCTAGGATCTAAACTCTGGGAACAATTTTATTCCTCTTTCCATATGCTTTCCAAAAGCTTTAGAGTGACTCAGCCCATTTCATCCCGAGCAATTTTACTCCTTTATCATTTTAGGGGATCTTCTTTCAAATTTAAAACAGAAAACTCTGCATGACGTTAGTTATCGCTTGAGTCAGATTTTTGGAGGGACGTAAACCCTCCCCCTCCTTCTTCATTCGCAGTCTGTGGCTCTCTGATGGCAGAATCTGCATGTGCAAAGATATACTCAGAGCCCTGCAAACGCAAATGCCTTGGTGTGCAAAATTAGAGCCGGTGCTGAGGCTCCCACTTCTGACATGTGTCAGTCATGTTGGTTGCAACATGGTCTTCAGTGAGTGAGGAGGAGGATGGTCTTGTGACAGCTGTGCTGGAGGAAGGCCTGGGTCCTACCCCAGCCACTCTCACAGACAGCAGTTGCGGTGGGTGAGTCACAGCACCCTTTGCACCAGGGTGGTGGTGATCATACCCTGCACCTGCCATGTGCCCAGCCAACCGGCGGGACACGTCGCTCTCTCCAGGGGTTAATGATTGTGATCTCTGGAACAAGGTGCACAAGGTGTTGGAACTGATCACAGGTGGTTTTCATCTGCTATTTTATCTAAGGCAGGATGGCAATTACGCCTCCTGCCTCCGGTCCAAGGAGTTTGAATTGTTTTATTACTTGGTGCTGATGAAAGCAGAACAAATGGGATGACATGTTTGAAAATACCAGGTCTGTGAAGGATGAAACAGCAGAGCCAGCATGCTCCAACAGTTCCATCCAGCACAGAGTTGCCTCTGGGAAGGTTACGAGTGGCAAGCTGGTCATTTCTCTGGCACGGCCCACTTCTGCACAGACGTAAACCAGTGTGTGTCCTAGTTTGCTATGCACTGTGAGCAGTTGCCATTAGAGTTTCCAGAGGAGCTTGTGGTTAAATAGCAAAGGATCATCCTTCTCAAACTCATCAAAGGCACTGTCTCCAGGGACGTCTGGTGAAGCTGGAGGACACCTGGAAGGCAAGGAGAAACTCCTCATGGTTGAGGGGAAAAGCCGAGAGTGAGACGACTAAAGAGATTGCGTTTCTGTGTTTCCAAATTCTCAGATGTTTTGGATTTGCCTGGGAGCCATGAGAGGAATTAGGAAGGGCATTTAAACCAGAAAGCAGTGCATTTCCATGCTCATCTCTTCTTCCTGGTGCAGTGTTGGAATTTTCCTATACTCTTTTATATCCTCCCCCTTCTTCCAGGAAATTCAAATTGGATGTTTGAAGTTGCAGTGTTTCCTGAACATGGTGAATCCTTGTCCTGTTTTGTTTGTAGAAGACCTTGATGATGTATATGTTGTGTGTCTGCCTTCATGCCCGGTTTCAAAAAAGCTTGTATATGGAGTTGAGTCTGGGGGGAAGGGGGAAGTTCCTACCTTTTTGTGGGGACTGACTGTAGGAGATGGCACTGGGACATAGGCTGTAACAGCTCGTGGATATTGCTGTCCTGCCAGAAGGACAGAGATCAAGCAGTGATCTGAGCAGATGATGGTATAGACCTGCTGGTTACAGGGACTGCTTCCAGCTGTTTTGATCTGGTTGTGTCAGCAGGAGCCGCAGTAGAAATACAATCAGAGCTCTAGAGGAGATCCGAACTGCTGCAGGGACAGTCTCTGCTCCAAAACTTGATTCTGGGGGATGGCGTAGGAGCTTCATGAAGGTGCCAATAGTACCATCAGATAAGGAGGCTACACATATTGCTGTGTTGGCCCAGGTCTCTTCTGTTTCGAGGGAGCAGCTGTCATCCCCCTGTCCTAGGGAGAAGGACTTCCACAGAAAAGTGTGCAGGTTAATACCCTCCCATTGGGGAGGAATGCTGGGAAGCCTTCCTAGGTAGATGGTATTAAACATGTCATCACCTTCTTGTTTCTTCTCTCACTTTCTGGCTTGTCCCAGAACTGTTTGTACCAACAAGTGCTATTTTGAAACTATGTTTGTGGCAAGCAAACAGCTTTAACATAATATGTTCTCTTTTTGCAGGATAGAGAACTGCGTCCGGAAGAAATTGAAGGTAAAATTTGTTCCTTCTTCTGTGTCCCCTTTCTCCTTACCCAGTAAAAACCTGACTGGCCCTTGCAGCTTTGTCCCCATGGGGTAAAATAATTTCAGGCAAATCAAGGGAGATGCTTACTGGAATAATTCCTGGAAACCCCAGTAAAAGAAATAATATGTAAAACTCTGAGAGCGCTGACTGTGAAGGAATTTGCATCCATTCCAGCTTCTTCAGGGTGGGAGGATAAGTAAATAATGGGATATAGAGGCTGTCAGGGAACTGCTGTCCCTCCCAGCTCCCACAGAAAATGTTGCAGAGCGTGATACAATAACACGGTTCAAGGGAAGCCGTTTTACCTGCTAATCCCTACAGTGAGGGGTATATAATATAGTGCAGGGGTAAAAGTTGGAAAAACTTACTAGTTTTGGTTTCTTTAGGGAGCACAGTTTAGCAATGTACAGTTTGTGACACTTGTAGTCCAAGCAAGCTTTCCCGTAAGAAATGGGTCAGCAGTGCTGCTGACAGAGCAGCTTAACATTGCTCCAGTCATTGCCTCTTTGCAAGGAGATCTGCTGGAAAAATACGGAGTATCTTAGGGAGTCTGGCCTCATAAAGTGCTGCTGATTCTGGGGAGGTTTCTTGGAAAAGGTGTGTCAGGCTGTCACTGACAATATTGTTCTTTTTGGATCCATTCCCACAGAACTAAGAGAAGCCTTTAAGGAGTTTGATAAAGACAAGGATGGGTTTATTAACTGCAGGGACCTGGGGAACTGCATGCGGACCATGGGCTACATGCCCACTGAGATGGAGCTAATAGAGCTCTCCCAGCAGATCAACATGAACCGTGAGTAATACCCACCTAGCTGTACCTGCCTGCTGGTGCTGTGCCCTGCATCATTGCTTCAGGCTGCCTCGGTCTCCTGCTGCTTCTTTTCCTTTGGATTACTCCCCTCTTCTTTTGGTTCTCATTTTCACTCCCTATCATCTCTCCTGTTTGTTTGTGGTCCCTGGAAGTCACTGCCTTTGGTTTTGCTTATCAAGGGGACTGTGTGGACTGTGCTGTATATGAGAGCAGAGAGTGGAAGAGTTGTCATTTATGCTTATATCTGTCAGGTACAAAACTGCCCTTGGTGTGGGGGGTCAGACATTGGTGCACAGGTTCTATGTGTTGTCACATTGAAGCTGTTGTCAGATGGTGTCAGGCTAAAGAAGGAGCCTGGGAAGATGGAGATGCTTTGGTCAGATGGGTGATGGATGGATGGGCTGTTCACTCTGCAGTGGTTGTTTGTGGATCTGCTGTGTGCCTGGGGATGGGCTGTGAGCAAGCTGTGCTGGCGGCGTCGGATGGGAGCATCTGCTGCAGTCATGGAAAGATGTGACAAACACGTCCGACTCGCTCTAACTGTGTTTGTTCCCCTTGTCTTTTGCCATCATTTTTTGTCACCTCTCATCTGTGGCAGTGCAGGGTATCACCCTCAGCCAGGTCGGGAAAAGGATATTTAGTGCATGTTATTTCTGACACAAGATGATGTTAAAAGGGCAAATAACTTGGTCAGGGGAAGGAAAACAGCTGTGATATATGCAACCCAGTCACACACAAAAGCAGCTGATAACCCTGGCTCACAAGTGCTTGGGAATTTGAGAATGTTACTGACAGCTTTCAGATAGGTCACTAACAAGTAACAGAACTAATATAATGAATAAACAGTTGGACATGCATTAGCTACTGTAATGGAGCAGGACTCCAGCACTGCTGCAGGGCACTGCCTGGGCCATGCAGGAACATCATGCTGTGCCCTTGCTGTGCCCTTTGGCACAGGCGCAGCAGAGTTGCTATAAGCACTGGAACGATCAAGCCTCTAATACATAATACATGATGCTGTAAGGATGTGACAGTCCATGGCTGCCTAGGATAGAATAGCTTGGGCTCATTCTGACTAGCCCATAATCCAGAAAATACAGTGTAAAGCTACCTCTGCTTTTCCTTCTGCTGTTCCACACCTTCTGTGCTTTGCTTCCTGGACAGCTGAATGCTCTCTAGGGCACACAGAACTGCAGAGTGAGTGCTGGGCTTGGTTAATGTATGGAGTTCTTACACACGATCTTTCATCTTGTCCCAAGTGGGTGGCCATGTGGATTTTGAAGATTTTGTTGAGCTGATGGGACCAAAGCTGCTAGCAGAGACTGCAGACATGATTGGTGTAAAAGAGCTCCGCGATGCCTTCAGAGAGGTGAGTTCTCCCTACCGTGTGTCCCCAGAGAGGTGAGCAACAGGAGACAGGAAAGAGAGAAGACCCACTGGGGAAGAGAAGAGGAGGAGGAAAGAGCAGCATAGTGCAAGACATAGAAAGAGCCAAGCCAGGCATGGAATAAGGGAGGAGCAGAGAAAATCACTAAGATAAGGGAACCCTTGAGGCATGGAAGAGGAAAGCTGGTGCAGACACAGCAGCGAGGGGTTTCTGAGGAGCAAAGACAGACTGGATCCAAAAGGCACCCAAAGGAGAAGAAGGAGGGACACAGAATGAATGCAGAAAATATAGGGCATTCAGGAGCAGAACAGTACAAAATCCAAGCCAGAGCAAGATCTGTTCCCATTAACTGTAGTTCCCTCGCTGGTATTTTGCATATCCTTGCAGTTTGACACCAATGGTGATGGGGAGATCAGCACCAGTGAGCTGCGAGAAGCCATGAAGAAGCTTCTAGGGCAGCAGGTGGGCCACAGGGATATCGAAGAGATCATCCGAGACGTGGATCTGAACGGAGACGGACGTGTCGATTTTGAAGGTGAGAAGGGATCAGCGCTCGCTGTCCATCTGCTCTGGTGTGAGTCAGAGTTTCAGCTCAGAAGCTGAAGCCGAAGGGAAGATTTGCATGCTCAGGGCCCAGGTATCTGAAGTATGGACAAAAATTTTTTTTATTCCTAGTCAACTGAATTGTTCATTTGTCTATCATCTCTTGCAGCATCTCAGTTTCAATTGGGTCTCCATAATTCTAGTATGGTAAGAGATACACCTTGTCACAGAGAAGCAGATTCTGGTGCACACATCCTGTGCCAGTCTTCTTTTTATGAGGCATTTTCCTTTTTGTTAAATCTATTGAAAGAGCTTTGAGGTGGCTGGATTGCTTTGGAGAATGCATTGCACCTTCCATTTCCTCTGACTCACCTTGTTACCTGGGTTTAGAGAGAATTTGTCTCTGTGCCTTTATGCCAGAAGATGGTCATGTGCCAGATGTTCTCACTAAGACTGCAGATATCTGATCTAGAGGTGTCGTGTTAAATCCTAGAGATAATTCATTTCTTCTCACACTTTTCATGCCAGAAGGACTTGGAAAAATAAGAGAGTTAGACTATTATCTTAGCCATTAGCCATAGCAGGAGCAATATTAATAGAGCTCAGGGTTTCTGGCAAGGAAGCAGTTGATATCAGACAGCTAAGAAGATATAAGAGCTGGAAGGTGTGAGAATGTGGCAGGTTACTTGTTTCCCTGGTGCAAATCCAGATGTCCTTTTGCAGTAAGGGTGAAGCACAGGAACTATAGAATTCAAGTAAAATTGACATAATTTTTTTGGCTCAGAGGCATTTCTGGGTCTCCTACATGATTAGGCGTCTCAGTCCTCAAGATTACTGAAGCCTCTGAGGGCTTTGAAAATGCTAAAAAACTAGAAGTGTCTCTGTAGAAAGTATCTGGTAGCTGCAGTTGTTCTAATGTACTGGCTGATTACATGACAGTAGCTCTCCTTGTTTCCCACAGCTAAATTATGTTAGACAGCTGAAATACATGAAATGCTACACCAGTATCATTTTCTCTGTGAGTTACTGCTTTAGTTGTCAAAGAACAGCTCCATCAATGGAAAAGGACAAGTCAAGGGGGTAATTTCCACTGCCCTCCCCTTTGCAGTCATTAGTTCCTCAGCAATTCAAGTGCAGAATGAAAACACATTTATGTTTGATGGCATTTACACTCAATTTGAACAATCGTTATTGACTTCACAAGCTGCAAGGTGGTCAAACAGAGCCAGGGTATCCTTGCAGTTAAGCTGTATCTTTAAAAACAAGAAATGCGTCAAAGTAAACTTTACAGAAATGCTAGTACCTACCAAAACTCCAGTGCTTTCCCACACTGGTGTCTCTGTGAAGTGCCAAGCTTACCAAGAAATCATACTGTGTTCCCAAGTTCCCCAAAATTACAGTGAAAGGAGACAATGCTTGCCATAGTGTCTCACAAAGAGTTGCTTGTGCAAACAAGACTGAACATAGCTGGGAAGGAGTCCAAGGCAATGAACTGACCTGCTAGTGGGATCTTATCACCATATCTAATGCAAGGATTAAAGCTCATTTTGTGTGAGCTCTCAGGGTCAGTCACAGAGTGTACAGACCTGCTGGCAGTGTGCGGACTCTCAGTTCCACCCTTGCTGCCTGCTGTCTTCAGGGAATGAGAGCTGTGTTGGGGACTGTGGATGCCTTCTACTTCAGGGCTGTCTTGTGTTGTTGGTTGCAGAGTTTGTTCGCATGATGTCCCGTTGAAGACTATTCTCAGCTAAAGAAGAATCAGCACCTTAGAGAGGGCAGAAGAGGACCTAGATGGAGCATCTAGCCCCGATGTTCCTACATGAAGGTTTATCGGCTGGCTGCAATTAGGACATTGCAAGATGACCTGCTGCTCCTCCCTCATGGTGGTCCCCATGCCCCTCCACCCTTTCACACTGTGAAAGACTTGCAACTTCCTACAACTGGAACCATTCCTTGAAGATGATTGCAGGAAACTGCAGAGCCAGGACTTGCCATGATGCTTTCATGGGATATTTGCAACTTTAGACTCCTCCTCCCCAGCTTTATTCTCCCACCAGCTGCTGCAAAGCAAAAGCAGGAGAAATCCTCTTGGCTTGGTGGATGAGAACAAAGCCATTGGGATTGGTGGCAGCCTCAGGGCGTGCTCTGCACTTCTTGGTTTCCCTTGGTGAACCGTGTCTGTGTTTGCTGTCTCTCTGTGTGTGTGTCTATATGTTTGGAGTTATTTATGCTTCCCCAGCACTTATTTGCATCTCCTGTGGTTATGTTTACCAAGAGTAAATTCAAATACATGTCTTGCGGGGAGAAAGCGATAAATATGCACGTTGAAATGATGTGGAGCCTGGATGTCCCTGTGAGAGGTGGTGGCTGGGCTGGGGGAGAAGGGCTTGGGCAGATGCACCTCCCAGTGTCTGCACCGGGGTCTGGAGGCAAGTCCTTGCCACAGGAAGGGGAGTCAGTGCCAGGCACTAGGCCTGCAGCAGAGCTCTGCCCTCCCTCCCACTGTCCCCATGGTCAAGGGGCCTGGAGGTGCCTTGTGGTGAGGGCAGTGTGGAGGGTCCTCATCCCTGCATCCCCTCTGCTCGCATGGGGACAGGTGAGAGCCCCTGTGGTATCGTGGCAAAGGAGCAATGGGAGAGAGAGCCCAGAGAGAAACTAGGTGGGAGTGGGATAGGCAGCAATAGCCAACTTCACCATTTTCAGACCATTTCAAACACAGCTGTGAACACATGTACAGTGGGGCTGTGCTGCGGGAGCTGAGCTGTAACTCCATTGGTGCTGGGGATTGGGCCGGAGCCTCCTTGTATGGCAGTGCCCTGCTCTCCAGCCTGCTCACACTCAGAAATGCAGCACGTGTCTGCAGCAGTGATCATGGAAGCAGGCCCTACCAGCTGCTTCCAGACACATCAAATGCTTATCCTACATCCCTTTCCCCAAGATGCACGCAATGTACCTCTCCCTTCCCCTACCTGCCAGACCTCCAGTTGTCCCCTTTATGCATAGGTGCAGTCAGAAGTTGCCAGCACTAATTTCTGCTCGGCTTCCAGGGGCATCATCATCCTGTGTGTTTCTCAGTGTGACTGGGAGCTGGGTTTTTTTCTGTTACCTCCTTACTCAGATTAGGAGGTTAAGGATCAATATCCTTCTTCCTGCATCTCGAATCTTTCACTTCCCAGGGTCCAACAAATCTGTGTCCCAAAGGAGGATTTTCTCTTGCGCTTTCCTGTTGCTGTGCCAACCAGCATAGCTGCAATGATGGCTGATATCCCAGCAATGGGAAAAACTATGTTTCTCCTTACATTTGTGCGTGTATGGGGGGTATCCTCATGTTTGCACAGGTGTGTGCACTGGGAAGGGTTTGTGTGTGTGCACATGACAGCAGGGAGTGCGGAAATGTACCTGGGAGTGCAGCAGTAGAAGAGTTTGTATGCAAGTGGGTGTATGCAAACTATGTGTGTGTATCTATGGAGCTGGTCCCATCTTAGAAATGTGGGTATGAGCCAAGAAATTGGAAAATGGATATTTACAGATCTCCACATTACTGGTACAGCAGCTGTATTGTGCTTAGGAGATGAGGGTGATAAATTGAACAGAGTCCAGAGTCCTGGTAAGTTATAAACGTACTTAGGGTAATACTGGGGAGGGAGAGACCTGTGCAGGCTTGTACCTGCCAAAGGTAGTGCTGATATACAACTGTGCTACACTTACAGTGGAGCCCATTTAGGAAGAAGCTGCTTGTGTGTGCAGAGCAGGAGGACAGCTGTGCTGCTTGTCTGTGTGCTGCAGAGCGGCTGTGCCTGCCCATGGGGACCAGTGACAACTCGGGGCAATGCTGTGTGCCACAGCCAGGCATGCACAGACCCAACAGACAGTCAGAGGCAACGAGTGTGGTGGCTGCCTCTGCCTGCTCCTTCCCAGACCCTGCCCTGGGTAGGGCACAGCATCAGATGGCAGGACATGGTCTTAATTTATTTAAAATGGTAACCTCTTTTATAGAGGCTGCTCTGATCCACAGTGCAGCAGCACAGCAGCTGGGGGTGTTCTCTGCAAACTATGGCCATTTTCACAGGTCCCTGTGTTTGTACTGTGGCAGTGCTGTGCTTGTCTTCTCAAGAAACCTGGAGATAGCAGTGCTAGGGGAAGGATGGCTGCAGGGCACCTTTGTGTCATTGCAGAGGCAGTCGTGGAGCCACAGCTACTTCCGAGGGAAGCTGAGTCTGCCAAATCATCTGTAGCTCTGTTCTGCCAGATCTCACCATGGTACAGAGAACAGGTCAGACAGGGCAGGTCCCAAAAGCATTCTTTTTTTTTTTTTTCTGCCTTCCAGCAGAGCCTTTTGCTACCAGGCTGATTTTGCTTTCTTAACAAACCCCAAATAATCCCAGGGAGTTTTACTATTTTCTTGTGCAGACAGGACAGAGATTAAAGCTCCAATCTGAATAATCTAATTCCAGAGATAATCTTTTTGCTCTCATCTCCAATTCAGTACCAGGGAGGCTTCCAAAGAGCTCCACATGGCAGGGCAAAGCTGGTCCCGCCGGGCACCCGAGCCTGCTAGCCTCATGCTGTTCGGGAGGTGGCCCAGGCAGTGGGGCTGGCTCACTTTGACTTCTTAGATGCCTCATTAGCCATGAGCTCTGCTTCTGACCGACATTGTCTCCATTGCTCTTTTTTTGGACATCCCAAATCCTGATCCTCTTTTCCTGCAGGAAATGGCTAATACCCAAAACACTGCCCCACATCAGTTGTGATTGATCAGGGCTGTAGGTAGACTGATTCAAGACTGAGTCACTTTGGCACAGCTGCCAGGGGACAGGGAGAGATCAAGGGATTGAGAAGACGACCCTGAGCCTTTCACTTGTAGGTTACTGGTGTAAATCCAGCCTGCATCAGGAGACTGGTGGCTCAGTGGATTAGTAACAGGATAGAGCCTTTGACATCTGGGGCACAAGCTGGTATCAAGTTGCTGGTGACCGCAAGTATCGATTTGGGTGGCAGTGTAGGACATTGCGGACACGGACCGTCACGGCATGTCTGCTGTCCTCTGCCAGTGGCTGCAGCCAGCCTGTGAGCCAGGGCTCCTGCCTCCAGATGTGTACAGCCACTGCCCCTCCTCACTCACTGCTGCTCAGTTAATCCCTCTTGCTTCATAATGGGCTGCTGATTCATCCAAGCTAGTTATTACAAGATGCTCTGCCTTGAGAGGCAGAGGAGGTATTTGCCCTCTAAAAAGGCTGAGTCCTCAGATGGTGTGGAGAGGGATTTTCCCCTCTGTTCAAGGAGGGCAACTCTTCCTCTTCAAGGAAACGCTTCTCTTTTCAAGGAAAGGTTGCTGATATTTCCCTGTGAGATGTGCAGGAGCCCCAGCAGCCCTCACAGGATCCCCAGGCTTGGCACACAGAGGTCCCTGGTGACACTCCCAAGGCAGGGGATGGGCAGGGTTAGCTCCCAGCTGCCCTTGTACACACTTGGGACCAAAGAACTTCCTTCAGCTGCGGGATCTGTCTTGGTCACACCTAAATGTTATCTA